GGGGGGGGGGGGGGCTGCCTCCAGGGAAGATGCCCCGGGAGCTGATGGGTGGGATCAGGGACGGGAGGGGACACGTTTAACTGAGCTTAAATGCTCCGCCATGAGATGGTCTCAACTGTTCAACGGAGAACACTGGTTTTCAAGTTCTCTTCATGAATCATAGGTTTAGAATGCTAACAATTTTGGCGGCCCCTGGCTGGCTCTGAATCCTCATGACCTCCACCACCACTCTGGCTCCTCCAGCCACCCCGGGCTCCTTGTTCAAGCCTGTCCCTGCCCCAGGGCCTTTGCACTTACTGTTCCCTCCGCCCGGTAGGGCCTCCCCCACACCTCCACTCTTTCCCTCCTTCATTCAGGTCTCTGCTCAGTAGCACCTCCTCAGGGAGGCCCTCCCTGACCTCCCTAAAACCAGCCCCTCACCAATCTCCTTTCCTCTGCTTCATTTTCCTCCGCGGTCCTTATCGCATAAGCTACTATCGCCTCACTTGTTTAAGATCCACTTCCCCACCGAGACGTGATTCTACAAGAAAACAAACAAACATCATCTGGTTGATCCAGAGGTGACCCCATCTGGTGCTGTAACCCCGGGGGGCCCGGAAAAGTGCGGAAGCCCGTTGTAGGTGCTCGGTGGCTGTCTGTCGAACGAACGTCACTGAGTCGCCGCAGAGAAGCTTGGGAAGAAGGCTCAGGGCCCCTTGGGCTCTTCGGAATCAGACCCTCCCAAGATCTCGGCCTCAAGTATCAGAACGGGGAGCTCGCCCCCTTCGAGCAGCGATCGCTTCCACCAAAGGGCAGAGCCAGGTGAGGCGATACGATACAGACGGGGAAACCGAGGCACCGAGGGGTAGTTACCCGGAGTGCAGAAAGGCCCCGTACTGTTGGGGGGAAGCGCGTGGAGAGGTAAATGGTGTGGGCTGTCGTCTGATGGCCGGACCCAGTCTGGCGGCATCGGACGCGGGGGAGGAGTGGGGGACACGGCGTCGAGGCGGGGCTGGCGAGGCTCGGTCACTGACGGGCCCTGTGTGAGCGGCACTGGGGAGCCACAGACGGCTCCGCGGGAGGAAAGCGAAGGAGAGGGCCGGAGGTCCGAGGGGGCCAATCAGGGCGGGGGTGTGGTCAAGCGGGTGGGCGGGGCCTGCGGGGCGGGCCAATGGGGGCGAGGGGGCGGGGCCGCGGGCGGCTCCTCGGGGACCCAGAAGAGGCAAGGCGGGAGGGCGCTGATGGCTTTTCCAGAGAGGAAGCGGGGAAAGGTGCCAGGAAGAGATAAGGTGGGAGGGCGGGCTGGGCCGGGGCGCGGGTCCCGGGCTCCGGGGTTTGTCCGGGTTTCCGGAGCCGCCCCCCCTCCCCCCCCCCCCGCCTGGCGGGGGCACCAGGTGTCCGGCCCGACCCCGCCCCTCTGTCCCACGGTCCCGGGCCCCGGCTCCCCGCCGCCGTCCCGTCCGCTTCCCCGAGGGGCCCCGGGGACAGGGGTCGGTGGGGGCAGGAGGGCGAGGCAGAGCGGGGACCGAGAGACGGGCGGAGGAGGACGGAGAGGGAGAGCTAGAAAGAGGGCGGGGGGAGAGATGGACAGAGGGAGGAGGCAGGGACGGGGACCCAGAGACAGTCCAGGGCCCGGATGGGGGAGGAGAGAAAGGTGGATCCCGCAGGCTTGGAGGCACCCGCTGGGCCACGCCCTCCCAAGGAGGATTCCTGGGGTGGGGGTGGGGGTGGGGGCCCTGACTCACCCCCTCTCTGCTGCTCCTGAAACCACCACCTCGGGCTCTCCACCTCTCACAACCTTCCAGGCCTCCCTGCCTGCCCAGCTTCCTGCCCCACCTCCTCCCTGGCAGCCTCCCCTAAGAATGTTCCATTTGGCCTCCCAGATCGCTCTCAAACCAGTGCTCTCCTCCCCCTCCCCGAGGCCCTGTTCTCATCCAGCCTCCTCCCCGTTCCTCGGTCCCCAGCCTCCTTCCTGGTCTCCGGCCCCAGTCTCACGGCCCTTGAATCCACCCGCTAGAAGGCGGCCCGAGTAGGACTCCGTCCCTCCTGTGCTCCGAACCCTTCCATGGCTCCCCAGCACCCCCCCCTCGCCCCCCCCCCTTGCCAGGACGCCGCGCAGCTTCTAGGCCACAGCCCTGGGAGGTCTGACTCCCACCCACCTCCCCAGCCTCGGATTCAGTTCCTTGCGCTGTCTACACCGGGTGCAACACTGCCATCTTGCCTCTCTCTTGAACTGGCCATGTGCTGATCGCCGGTCCAGGCACTCGCTGGTCCCACTATCTAGAATTGCCCTCCTCACCCTCCGGTTTGCAGCTCAGACGCCCTCTCCTCCAAGAAGCCCCCTGCCCCTGCCCCCCCCCCTCCCCCCCAGCTCCCCAGGACGGTAGCCCTGTGCCCGCTGCGTCATCACTGGCTGGGGCTGGGGCTGTCTCCTCCCCTGAACTGCTTCGGATCCTCAGTACCGCCCAACACAGGGCCAGGCACAGGGGGGTGTGGTTGAAGAAGAGTGTTCAAACGCCCTCTGTTCAGTAAGTATTGACTGAGCACCAACTCTGTTCCAGGCGCCGGGGACACGGCGGTGAACAAATTCAGACATCTCTGATTCCGTGGGGCTTAAATGCAGGCGGAGGCAGGCAGTGAACCCAGAAACTCCAAAGTACGCAGAACGCAAGGCAGTCATGACCGCCGTGAAGAAAACTACAGCAAGGCTTCAAGCAAGACGAGGGCGGGAGAGTTCTAAAAACGGAGGGCGGGCAAGGCAGCTTTCCTGAGCACGTTAAGCAAAGTCTCGTTGGAGGTGAGGAGTGCGCCAAGCGGACAGCCAGGTAGGAGAGGGGCGAGGAGTGGGGGGCTTTCCAGGAAGCGGGAACGGTAGGTGCAAAGGCCCTGAGGTCAGAGCCAGGAGGACCGCGTGAAGTGCAACGAATGACGGGAAGGGAGCGCAAGAGGAGGGCGGAGAGGAAAAGCAGCGTGGAGGTGGGTGGAGAGGCTGTGGACCACTAGGGGGTGCGGGGGGAGGGCCACGCCGCCACCTTGTGCCACAATGACCCAGCCCGGAGGAATCTGTTAGACCAGAGGACTAACCAATCGGAGAGCCGAGAAGTCGGCGACTGGCAGCTAAGCGGACCGGACGGGGAGGCGGGGCCAGGGCCGTCCCCGCCTCCGGCCACCGCTCCCCCCCCCCCCACAGTCCCCCCCACAGCGCGGCTCACCCGCACCAGCCGGGCCCTCTTCACCAGGTCGTTGAGCTTGCGCAGGGCGGCGTGGCGCGGCAGGCCCTGGATGTCCCGGAACAGATCCTGCTCCTCCAACTCGAAGAGGCGCCGGTTGTCGGGCACCAGGAGGGGCTGGGACCAGAAGGAGCCGATGTAGACGCGCAGCACCTCGGGCGTGCCCACCACCTTGCCCAGCGCCCACATGAGCGCCCCGTAGACGCGCATCAGCTGCTGGGTCTCCACCATGTCCGCCTTGTTGAGCACCACGCGGATCTTGTCCTCGTGGCCCCGGAGGGCGCCGATGGCCTCCGAGAACTCGTCCGAGATCTCCAGCTTGTGCGCGTCGAAGAGCAGGATGATGAGGTCCACGCGCTCCGCGAACCAGCGCAGCACCGCCGGGAAGTCGTAGCCTGGGGGTACGGAGCACAATCGGCGCGAAGGGCAGAGGTCGGCCCCTCCCCCCTCCCCGCCCTCCAGCCTTTCTGAAGCATCCGCGCCTTTGGATTGATAGCGGACTGTACGGACGTTCAGGTTGTTGACTTTCGAAAACCCTTCTCTGAGAAACCGCCCAGGCCCCCAAGTGCATCCCGCTCCTC